CAGACGGAATGCCTTTAGAATTGCATCCTGAATCCAACCTTATTTATCTGAGAGAATTATAAGTATGATGAAAATATTCAGATTTCTAAGAAATGTAACGATAAGACGTTGACGAACTGTTTAATCTGATTCTGCATTGAATAGGTTCTACACGAAGTTGTCTTGTTTACATTACATGCGCATCTGACTCCAAAACTAGAATCTCTGATAGCGACTCTAACAAGCCTAATAATTCTCTACTTATTGAGGAACAAAATTTACCAAAAATATTTTCCTTTTCTATCTTATTTTTAAAATTGATGTGAATATTTATAGCACCAAAGAATTCTCCATTTTACTAAAAACTCGAAAACATTCGGTGAACAAGAGGAGGGGCTGAGACGAGAACATACAGTTAGAATCACACTGCTTAGTTTATAAAACTTTACATAACATTGACTGTCGTCTTACTGTTATGTGCTAAATTGTGCCAAATGCAAATGTCCAGATCCTGTCATCCAATTTGTAACTTTTTTGGACCTTAAAATGACTCAATCTGTGATTCGTGCCTTTGAAATGTCTATGAAAAAGCAAAACAATTGGCGACAATCATTGCATTCTGAAATTCAACCTTACCTATCTGACAGAATTATAAATATGGCATATATGAGAGAATTATAAATACAACAGAAAGAAAAAATTGCAGGTTTCGAAAAAATTTTTCCTAATTGTAGAACATTAATGAAATGTTTAATCTATTTTACATATTGAATAGTTTCATTTTACATATTGAATAGTTTCTTTTTTTCGAAAGTTTCATACAAACCAAGGCTCATCTGTTCAATATTCTGAAGTGTCATCTTTGAGACGAACTCAGAGTGTAATAATTCCCTGTGTATTGAGGCAAAAAAATTTATGCTAAAAATTTTCCTTTTCTGTCGAATTTTAAAATTCATATGAATTTTTATAGCATTAAAAAATTCATCAATTCACTGAAAATTCGAAAACACTCGGTGGAGAGGAATGGGAGGAGGAGAAAACAATACAATGCAGTTAATGTCACACTGGGCAGTTTATAAGATTTCACTTAGTATCGGTTATCCTTTTATTAATAGTTATGCGTTGTGTCAAATGCAACTGTTTAGATGCTATCTTCCATCTTATGATATTAACTGGGTTGAAATTCTTGGTCGAATTTGATTTTGTTAGCGTGAAATCATGCTTAGCACCAGGTTTATTAAAATTCTAATAGCACCAAACAAAATACGCTATAGAATCAGCGTAAAATATGGATAAAGATAAGTTTTTCATTATGCTCTTGCTAAGAGCTCCTCCACATTTATAACTAACCCTTCTTTGTAAGGCATAATAATTTTTTTTGAGTGCTTAAAGGGTTTCATTCTATCACTTTACACTTAAAAAAAAACCTCATTAATTTTTTTCTGCACTGTCTAATTATCTAATTATCATTATTTTATTGTTTCATATATTTTAAAAATCTTAGCAATATTTCATTTGGTAGAACTTTTTTCATCAATTTAATTTTTTTATTTTACATCTCAGTACGTTCACTTTTCAGGTAAATATCGGATTCTAATTGAAAGGCATGAAAAATATATTGATACTACTGGTCGTCCTGCTAGCAATCGAATGTGTAGAATTGTTTGGTTGGGGATATCCAGGCTACAATGGTCAATATCAGGGTGGATATAGATCCTACGGTGCATATAGATCTGACAATGGTGGATGGTAAATAACACTGTTTGTAAATTCTTTTTAAAGTGAAAAATAATTGCTGTGCATTTGAGCTTTACATCACATTGCAGAATAATAGGAAGGCAATAAGTATGAAATAAGGTTTTGAAAGATGCTAAATTTACATGGGCATCAGAAAGTGATAGCGAAAAATATTTAAAGCATTGAAATCGTTCATTGAATTAATGCAAATTATGAGTTTTAAATAAACATCACCAGAAATTTGGTTCAGTCATTATAATATTTCAAAACCTGCTTGAGTTAACCGTGCTCATTTTAAGGTCGCTACCATTTGGAGGTGGAACTGGTGCAAGTCGTGGGGGATTTGGATTTGGATTTCCCGGCT